TTCTCACTGAGAAAGTTCTGCTGATTCTATTGATGTTTCAATATTTTGATATGATAGTTTCATTTTTCGATATTCTCGATCGACTCTTTCTACCATTTTATAGCACAATATGGAATTGATGAATTTCTAAAAATTACCGTTAAACATTATGTTGTTCTTTCATATATTCTTATTTGTTCAGTTGGTTATTAGCCAATTTCAATTGAACCAGTCGTCTTTTTAAAACTTTTTGTAGATAGACGGCTCACTTTATCAAAACTCTAATCCACTCCTATCACTTTTCCAGAAGTGGAAGTTGGAAAAACTGACTTTTCTGCTGTTTAATTTAAACTATTGGTTTTTCCGAAATTTATATCTAGATAATTTATCTCATATACATTTTGTTTGCGTTAAATAACTTTTTCAAAATTGTACGTGAGGGTTGTTTCTTTTGAAATGTGTTGACATTTCAAAAAAAAAAAAGAAGAAAAGCAAGTAGAATTTTTTGAACTCGAGTGAAATTATTTATTTTTTAAATCGTTCAATCCATCGATTAATCTAAGAAAACTTCTAATCATATCTATTAACGTCCCCAAAGAATTAATCTCAACATGAATAAAAGTGCTTTAAATGAAATTGATTCACATTAAAAAAAATTGTTAGATAACCAATTCATTTTTTATAACATATAGGAACTGAATAGCTTAATATTGCAACTCTTTTCTCATGTTTTCATTCTATATTAATTCTACTTTATGAAGATCCCAAAGCGGGTCAGGTTCCACAACGGATCGGGAGAATACATCCTATTCCGCGATGTTGCACATTGCTGGAATCAGTTCCGCCCGGAATCGATTCCATCCAATTCCGCTCACACAGACCTCAATCCGATTCCGGAATCCAATCAACCATTTCCCAACAATTCTGGAATCATTTCCAATAATACCATCTAATTCCGGAACTCCGGGAATTCCATCAAGCAGGAATCGCAACGAATTAGCCGGAATTGCATGCAATTCCGCGATTCCCGGAATCCCGTTTGGGAATTGCATGCATACACTAGAAGTGAGCTATGGTATTAATGCAACGCATAAATGATTCCGGAATCGAACGGAATTCCATGGAATTGCATGCAATTCCGTCTAATTCCGTCCAATTCCGTTTTGACGTGATTCGTGGAATTCCGTTTGTGAATTGCATGCATACACTAGAAGTGTTCTATGCTATCAATGCAACGTATAAATGACTCCGGAATCGAACGGAATTCCATGGAATTGCATGCAATTCCGTCTAATTCCTCCTTGAAGCGATTCTCGGAATTCCGTTTGGGAATTGCATGCATACACTAGAAGTGAGCTATGGTATTAATGCAACGTATATATGATTCCGGAATATAACGGAATTACATGGAATTGCGTGCAATTCCGGCTAATTCGTTGCGATTCCTGCTTGATGGAATTTCCGGAGTTCCGGAATTAGATGGTATTATTGGAAATGATTCCGGAATTGTTGGGAAATGGTTGATTGGATTCCGGAATCGAATTGAGGTCTGTGTGAGCGGAATTGCGGAATTGGATGGAATCGATTCCGGGCGGAACTGATTCCAGCAATGTGCAACATCGCGGAATAGGATGTATTCTCTGCATGCAATTCCCAAAATGGAATTTCAGGAATCGCTTGAGGGAGGAATTGGACGGAATTAGTCGGAATTGCATGCAATTCCATGTAATCCCATTCGATTCCGGGATCATTTATGCGTTGCATTACTGCAATACCTCACGTCTAGTGTACGTATGCAATTCCCAAACGGAATTCCGGGAATCGCTTCGAGGACGAATTGGACGGAATTAGACGGAATTGCATGCAATTCCATGTTACTCCCAATGATTCCGGTTTCATTCAATTCCGGAATTCGGTTCCGGAATTGGATCATCATTAGATTCATAAGAGATGATAGAATATTACTAGATATAGCAATTCCGGAATTGCTAGAAATTCCTAGTAATTCCTACCGATTCCGGTTTGGTTCGATTCCGGAATTGGATCATCATTAGATCGATAAGTGATGATAGAATAATACTAGATACAGCAATGCCGGAATTCCTAGTAATTCCTACCTATTCCGGTTTCATTCAATTCCGGAATTCCTAGTAATTCCTACCTATTCCGGTTTCATTCAATTCCGGAATTCCTAGTAATTCCTACCTATTCCGGTTTCATTCAATTCCGGAATTCCTAGTAATTCCTACCTATTTCGGTTTCATTCAATTCCGGAATTCCTAGTAATTCCTACCTATTCCGGTTTCATTCAATTCCGGAATTCGGTTCCGGAATTGGATCATTGTTAGATCGATAAGAGATGATAAAATGATACTAGATATAGCAATTCCGGAATTCCTAGTAATTCTTACCCATTTCGGTTTCATTCAATTCCCGAATTCCGTTCCGGAATTGGATCGTCATTAGATTCATAAGAGATGTTAGAATAATGCTAGATATA